AGATTAGATAGATTAGATAGATTAGATAGATAGATAGATTAGATCGATAAGATCGAAAAGATAAGATAAGATAAGATAGATAGATAGATGGATGGATGAGTTGATGGATGGATAGATAGATGGATGGATAAGCTAGATAAGATAGATAAGATAGATAAGAGAGATAAGATAGATAAGATAGATGGGATAGATAAGATAGATAAGATAGATAGGATAGATAGGATGGATAGGATAGATAAGATGGATAATATCGATAAGATAGATAAGATAGATAAGATAGATAAGATAGATAAGATATATAAGATATATGAGATAGATAAAATAGATAAGATAGATAAGATAGCTAAGATTGATAAGATAGAAAAGATAGAAAAGATAGATAAGATAGATGAGATAGATAAGATAGATAAGACAGATAGGAAAGATACGATAGATAGGATACATAGATAGATAGATAGATTGATAGACAGATAGGTAGATAGATATAGGTAGATAGATAGATAGGTAGATAGATAGATAGATAGATAGGTAGATAGACAGATAGATAGATAGATAGATGGATACATAGATTAGTTTGTTACTTAGTTCGTTAGTTAGTTATTTTTTACTTAGTTTGTTAGTTTGTTTGTTTGTTAGTTTGTTAGTTAGTGAGTCAGATAGTTAGTTACTTAGTTAGTTTTTGTTTGTTTGTTTGATTGTTTGTGTCTTTGTTTGTTTGTTTCTTTCTTTGTTTGTTTGTGTCTTGTTTTTTGCTTGCTTCTTTGTTGTTTCTTTGATTGTTTTTGTTAGATAGATAGGTAGATAGAAATAGATAGATAGGTAAATATAGATAGATAGGTAAATATAGATAGATAGATAGATAGATAGACAGACAGATAGATAGATAGATCGATAGATCGATAGATCGATAGATCGATAGATCGATAGATAGATAGATAGATCGATAGATAGATAGATCGATACATAGATAGATCGATAGATCGATAGACAGACAGATAGATAGATAGATAGACAGATAGACAGATAGACAGATAGATACTGTATATGGATGGATCTATGGATCGATGGATGGATGGATCGATGGATGGATGGATGGATGGAATGATTGATAGATAGATAGATAGATAGAAAAGTTGGAAAGTTGGAAAGTTGGAAATCTGGAAACGCGGAAAACATCATGGAACTAACATCCACGCTTCGTCAACGTCCTTAGCTGACGAGAATTTCACCATCAATTTCACCATGGATTTCAGAGGATTTCCCTTGAAAGTTGCTTCACCCGGACTGGTTTTCACCAACCATAGCCATTCATAGCCCATGTCAAAGGTAGTCAAAGCCAAAAAACACGATGCGCTATATGTACAAAAATTTTTAGGTTAGTTTAAACCCCCAATAGTTTGTGTTTCTTCATATTGTCAGAAGTCCCATATCTTTTGTTATGTAACCTGCTTCATCAATCTTTCCCCGTGTTCCAGTCTTTGTTGTTGTTGCTTTTCCTAGATTCCCAGCGGCTGGGAATATGGCTCGTTGAACAAGCGGGCCCCCGCAAAAAAAGAAAAAACATATATTGACTAGTGACTAATGACACCTGTTTCAGAATTGACCAAGATTGTGAAATCTGGATATATCATGATATATCATATATCCATCTGGATAAATCATGATAAATCTGGATATAAATTATAGTTCTGTCATGTCAGGTGCGAAGGATGACACGCACAAATCACAGCAGAAGTGTACCTGTTTACCGCAGGCATTTTGGATTTGGAAAACAAAGGCGCGGGAGTTGTCAAGGGTTATGAGCCCAACCCGACGCTCTACTGGGCTTTTTTCGGTTTTTAGGTGCCATGGAAAGAGCACAATCGGTTCCGCTAAGGAGCTCAGCTGAAAGCAATCCGTTTTGGTCCCAGAAGATTCAAGACGAGTGCAAGCTGGAAGCTGCGAGACCTCAAGCACTACCTGTGGATGGTGGTCTTAGTGGACAGCCGTGTCAAGCGGCATCTGGAGAAACCTCTCAGTCTCAGAAAGCGCTGGTTGAACCTTCTGGGAAGGGACGTGGAGGAGGAGCTCGTGAAGGCTCATGCACTCCGCTTCCTACAGAGCATGGGTCTGGCGCAATGAGGACTGAAGGTCGGATGCCGGGGTGTGATGATCCGGTTTTGTCACAAGGCCATGTCAAATCTGCTGGAAATAGTGGTATGGATGAAAATGGTGACGGTTTACAGCGAGCCCTAGAAGGCGAACTTGTGGAGTTTTTGAGAAATCAAAATGTGAAGCTCATGCAAGAGCTAGAGTCTCTTAAGGGGCAACTGCAAAGTGGGACGGCAAAAGCCGGTTCAGGGGATGCTTCTTCACCGTGGTCAGCTGTGGATGGAATTTCAGCTGAGGGTTCAGGTGGAAATGGAATTTTTCATGCTGAGCGTCATGGTAGAGAGGGAAGTAGAACTCCTAGGCCCAGAACTCGTGGACGTGCTGTTAGCCCTGAGGCTTGTGAAAAAGGTGATGTGGTTCGGTTCACACCAAATGGGACCAAAGTGCCTGAAGGTCCTCCGCCAAGGGATGAACCGATGTTGCCTCCAATCCCTCCGTTTCCAACTGCAGCAGGTGAGCCGCTTGTGGAGGGGACAAGTTTTGTCAGCAATTTGTATGATACATGTGAGTCAAAACCGCATGTGAGAAATGGTGACAAGTTGTGGAAACCTCAGAGTGGTCAAAACACTGGGGATGTGATGACAGCTAGCGAAGCGAAACAGACGTGGTTAGAAAGGGAGGTTCAGTCCCTCAAAACTGCTTTGAATCGTGTTTCGGTTCCTGATGCAATTCGACAGTCTGGATACTGGAATGGTAGTTTTGCGGAAAAAATGGAATGTCATGTTCCTGATGTGTCACATGCAGCAGCTGCCAATCGTCCGCTTTGTGGTGATCGAGCCCTATCTGGTGGAAGTGGAGATGTATCTCAACAAGATCGGGCTTGGCATGGTGGACGTGGTGAAGTATCAGCTCACGATCGGGCACAGCAGCTGTTTGGAGATCTACCTGGACTCGGTCGGGCTCCGCAATTGCATGGTGATCTACATCAACGTGATCGGGCATTGCATGCTGGTCTTCCTCAACGCGATCGGGCTTTGCATGCTGAACATCCTCAACAAGATCGGGCTTGGCTTCCAGATCTACCTCAACAAGATCGGGCTTGCCTTCCAGATCTACCTCAACGTGATCGGGCTTTGCACGGAGAACTACATCCTGGACAAGATCTACGTGGTGCAGCAACGGTGCGCGATCTTCATGGTCTTCATCAAGAAGGTGGTCCTCATGGTGGAGTGCAAGGGCATGGAACTTTGGGTGTCGCACCTATGCCGGCATCTTGGGAAGCTTCTGGAGGAGGTGGCGGCGGAAAAGCTGAACTACCTGTATTGCCGAATGGTGCATCGCCTCTGGAGTTTGGAGATTGGCTTTGTCTTTGTGGGCCAATCATGAAGGACTTGTCACATGTCGCTGGAAGATGGTGGGATGCAACGGTGCGACAAGCGTATGCCTTCTACATGGAATGGAAGGGTCTATCTCCTCTTCAGCGAGTTCAACTTTGTCCTCGTCTCCCTGATGAGTTGTTGGCAGGTGGCTACATCAGAACGGAGCAAAGGGGTGTCACGTTGTTGCTCAAGGCGGTGAGCGAAGAGCAGCAAAAGGAGCTGGTGGTGGATCGAGATTTGACCAGTACGGCAATTTTGTTCCGCCTCTATGTGCGGCATCAACCAGGAGGACCAGGTGAAAAGGCAATCCTCTTGGGGCAATTGACCTCACTGCAAAAGGCATCTTCGATGCAGGAATTGGCTTCTTCTTTGAGAACATGGCGGAGATACTTTGCAAGGGCAAGGGAGGTGGATGCAAGTTTGCCTGATGGAGTGCTGCTGATAAAGGCACTTGAAGCTGCGGTTGTCCAGATCGCCAAGGAAGACTCCCAAGCAGCGTTCAGGCTTTCCACAAGCCGACAACAACTTGCACTGGATCAACGTCCAACGGAGCAATCAATATGGAGTTTTAGCCAATGTCTTCTTGCAGAGGCGGAGACGCTGAGTCTGCTGAAATCCTCCTCTACAACAACAGCAAGTGCGAGCACACCTGTGAGGCTCAAACAAATGGATGCTGAAGCATCAAACTCACCTCAAAAACCAGGCACTCCTGGCAACTATGGCAACAAGTCCGGCAAGGGACACTCAACTCCTATGTCGGAGCAACCATGCAAGTTCTTCAAGAGCGACACTGGATGCAAAGCCGGACGAAGCTGCAAATGGTCTCACTCTTGGGAGGGCATCGAGGACAAGAACAGTCGATGCTGGATCTGTGGCGGCAAAGATCACAGAAAAACTGAATGCAAAGTCAAGGGCAATGGCAACAACTACAAACCTTCGTCCAATGACTCTGGTTTGGGGGGAGGACGTGGTGGTGGAAATCAAAATGCAGCCAACAACAAAGCGGCTGTCAAGCAAGCTTCAGTTGGAAAAGGTCATGATGGTGGAGTTGCAAGCTCAACAACTGATCAAACCTCTTCTAGTACGTGCGCTGATGGTCCAGGACTGGGTGCTGAGAGTAACTCCCTTGGGACTTCATCTAGTGCAACCTCGGAGGTGGATAAGGGGGGAGCTCCAGCTGCCACTCCTGCGACCACTGAACTGTTGGCAGAAGCCACACAGTTGCTGAAGTCTTTGCGTATGCCCAACCTGAAGGTGATGCGGCTGTCAAAGTTGGAGTCTCATGCTCAAATGGTGTTGTTGGACTCTGGCGCAACACATGGCCTACGTCCTGCAGCTTCAGAAGAAGAATGGCAGTCGGGCACAAGAACTCAGGTGATGTTGGCTGATGGTGTCACAGAAAGCCTCCGTTTGAAGCCTGGCACCAAAGTTTTGCTTTCAGATCCTCTCCTTCGGCCTGAAAATACCTCTTGGATTGTTCCAATGGGATGCTTGAACGAGCTCAACTACAAGTTGGTGTGGAAGGACCACATGTGCCATCTCTACACAAAAGCTGGAGAAAAGATCGATGTGGAACTTCACAATGGATGTCCCTACGTTGCTCATGAATTTGGAGCGAAACTGCTGACGGTTTTGGAACAGCATCAAATTCAACAAGAGCTGAAAAAGATGACCTTGAAGTCAATCTTGACAAGAGGGGCTGCCGGTCTTGGCGACAAAATGAGCATTGAAATGGCGATGCTTGTCAAGCTCAAGGAGGTCATGCCGACTTTGCCTGAAGATTTGGCGTTGAAGCTGGTTCCAGATCTCTCAATGCTCACGGACCCCAACATCGGCTTGAACCTTCCATGGAATCGCAGAAAGCGAAAAAGACTCATGATGGCAAGGAATGTGATCATCCACATGTACAGTGGACCTGATGCTTCTTACTGGGAGCGGCGTTTGTCAAATGAGCACACTGAGGTGCTGTGCGTGGACTTGGAAGCCTCAACACCTTCAAATGCTTTGGATGAAACAACCTTTGCGTTTTTGCTTTCCTTGTGCGCCAGCAAACGTGTCAAAGCTCTACTTGGAGGCCCTCCATGCAGAACAACAAGTGCTCTCAGGTTTCAAAAGGATGATGGTCCACCAATTCTTCGAACAGAAGATCACCCATACGGTTTGCCATCATTGACTCCACAACAAGCTGAATTGGTCACCAATGACTCAATTCTGTGGCTCCGTTTGATGCTGATGTACATCCTCTGCGAAGAAGTGCGTCCAAAAGAACAAGCTCAAACTGCATTTCTTTGTGAACAACCTCAAGACCCAGCGGAATACCGCAAGAAGGAGGATGTGGATGAGCACCAGTACTTTTCAATGTGGAGAACTCAGGAATGGAAAAGCTTCCAAGAAGCCTACAACGCCAAGCTGATCTCCTTTGATCAAGGGCCTTTTGGACACCCAAAACGAAAGCCAACCACCTTGGCCTTGATCAACATGAATGAGATGATGCAGCTACAAGATGTGCGAGGTCGTGGAGCTGAACCTGAAGTTGCTCCGCTACCAGAACTCAGCGTGAAAGAAAGATGTGCTATGTCAAAAACTTGGGCGGCTTGGGCACCTGGTTTGAAGGCTGCAGTTGCTGAAGCAATCAGCAGATGGATTCGCCGTGAAGCGCCTCCACGTGAAGGACCTGAAGATCCTGTTGGCGTTGTTTACGCCGATGATGATGTCCGACTTGCTGGTGTCGCTGCAATTGGAAATGTTGCCCTTCAACAATGGAAGCAACACTACATGCAGGACCACATGCCGGCCCGTCGAGATTGCAGCCACTGTGTACGTTCTCAAGGTCGCAGTCGAGCACATCGCCGAGTTTGTCATCCTGAAAGTTTCACTTTGAGCTTGGACATGTCTGGTCGGATGACTGGTGGCAAGGACCAAAGTCCTGGCACCAACAAATACTTCTTGGTTGGAGTCTACACATACCCCGTCAACAAAAAGGGGAAACCACTCTTGTTGCGTCCTGACCAAGATGAAGAGGAAGATCACCCTTTGCCTGGCCTTGATGACCCTGAGCTCTCTGGTGATCCTCAAGAACAACAACCTGGAGATGGTCAACCACCTCAACAACATGTTGAACGAGATCAACAACAAGCGAGCCATGAAGCTCAACATGAACAAGGTCTTCCTGCAGGTGTTGCACAAGATGAACCTGATCCTCTCCAAGAAGAATCGGTTCCTGACCTTGTGGAAGATGAAGACGTGAAGTCAGCCTATGGAATGCACGACACTTGGATGCGTCTTATCAATGAGTCCAAGGATGTCACTGTGCGCAACCTCACTTTTGCAGAGCCCATTGCAGATCGAAATGTGCACAACGTGCTGCCAGCGATCGCCAAGATCTATGCTCGCTTGCGCTCTTTGGGTTGCCCTGTGTACCGAATGCACAGTGACCGTGCACGTGAATTTTTGGCAAAACCTGTCCATCAATGGTGTCTTGACCGTGGAATAGTTCAAACTATGACACCTGGCAGTGCTTTCAAAACAAACGGCAGAGCTGAAAATGAAGTTGGGATGATCAAAAAAGGTGTCCGCACTTTGATCTCTGCTGGAGCATGCCCTTTGGACAGATGGCCTCTTGCGGTGCGACATGTTGGAGAAAGACGTCTCCGCAATCAACTCAACCAAGCAGGCTGGCCAGTTGGAAAACTTCTGAGGTTTGGCTCAAAAGCCTATGCCCTCAAGAAAAGCTGGCAAGATCGCTACGCTCAATGGCGTGATTGCCGAGAAGAAGTTGTGGTGTGGGGCCCCGCTGAAGGATCTTCTATAACCACCACAACATACTATGTCAAAGCAATTGCAACGGAAAGGTGCTTCTACACTGATGATGTGGTGATTCCTGCAGATGATGGCATGAATGCAGCTGTCGATGCTGGTCCCGGGGGAGAAGTTTTGCCATATCTCCCTGAACGTGATGAAAGACAAGCTCAACCGCTTTTTTGTGATGGGGTACCAGCACGAAGATTGAGATCAAAGACAGCTCCGCCTCCAGCAATTGCCACTATGTCAATGTTGCACATTGAGGGGGAGAAGCGCATCCTTGCAAAGTTTGGCAGTGTGTTTGAGTTTGCGCTGCCGCCTGACAATGAAGTTGCCTCTGAAGGTTCATGGACTTTGGAAACAACGCTTTCTCCAGCACAACAACATCCACCTCAAGAACAACAAGAGGTTCATGATGCTCCGCTACCAGGGCATGATGATGAAAAGGATGGTGATGGGGGGCAAACAGAAACTGATGAAGTTCATGATCAAAAGGAGGAGGAAAGTGATGTGGAGGAGGATTTGGGGGAGGCGCCTAACAGCAGAGACGGTGGCTCAAGCTCTGCGGCCTCAAATGTATCAAAAAATGTTCTGGTTAGAATGTCAAAGATACAAGCCCTCCAAACCATCCACGACAATGTCTCGGACTATATAGCCGAGGAGATCTGCAAGCTTGATGGCACCTTCCCTGAACAAATGTGGTGTCTCCCTGAGCTCAACAAAGCTCTGGTTAAAAAGGTTGAAGTTGAAGAACAAATTCAACTGCTTGCGGATGAAGATCGAGCTGAAGAACAACAACAGCTTACTCATGAGTTTTTGGTCACCAAAACGGTCAGCAACAAAGAGGTTCGTGAAAACCTTGCCGATTGGACTGAATCCATCAAGGCTGAGTACGAGCAGCTTGTCGTCAACAAAAAGGCTGTCAAACCAATGACCAGAACGGAACTCCAAAAAATGGCTGAAGTGCAGAACAAAACTTTGGAGATCCTTCCAGCAAAAATGGTTCACACTAGAAAAGCTGGATCAGGAGCATACCGTTCAAGAGCAGTGGTGTGTGGAAACTACCAGACACCGAATGACGACAACACGTACGCTGGAGGTGCTGATGCAACACAGATCCGAACAATGCTAAGGATCAGTGCTCAGTACAAGTGGAAAGCTGCTTCAACTGACATACGAACGGCGTTCCTCAATGCGCCGAGAAGAGACTCCAGACTCATAGCTATGGAAGTGCCGCATGTGTACAAAATGTTGGGCCTGGCTGGACCTGATGAAGTTTGGCTCATCATGCTTGCAATGTACGGACTCCAGGCTTCACCAAGGGACTGGTGTCTTCACCGTGATGCAGTTTTGCCAACGCTGAAGTGGACAAGGCAAGGTCCAAATGGGTTGCTGACTGGAGGTTTTGAGAAAACAAAAGATGAAAATGTTTGGCGCTTGGAAGAACTGGATGAATCAGGCTACATCCACTGGAATGGCCTCATGTCGGTGTATGTGGACGACATCTTGGTCACTGGTGAAGAGTTTGCAGTTCATGGCGCTCTACAAGCTCTCTCTGGAGTTTGGACAACCTCTTCTGTGGAATGGGCTGGTGTTGACAAGCCTCTCAAGTACTGCGGTTTTGAGATTTCTGAAGATGCCAAAGGCGATGGTTTTCATGTCAACCAGCACATGTACGAGCAGGAGATGTTGCAACGTTGGAATGTTGATGAAGGAGTTGAATATCCTCACTACAAAGTTGCTGAGGATCAAGAAGTTGAAGAAAGCCCTGACCCAAATGATGTCAGGACAGCTCAAGCTATGGCTGGTTCTTTGCTGTGGTTGAGCTCCCGAACACGACCTGACCTTGCTCATGGAGTTGCAACAATGAGCAGGCTTATGACAAAGGCTCCTGTCAAAGCCATCCAGATCGGCACAACGTTGATGAAATACGTCAAGGGAAACCCTGGCGTTGGTTTGAGGTACACAACACATGTTTCTGATGATTGGGGTGCCCATGGCCAGCTGAAGGTGAAAAGAAGTGACCTGCTCCTGGAGATCTTCTGCGATATCGCCTACTCAGCAGGTTCTGGCCATAGAAGCGTCCAAGGAATAGTTGTTTGCCTTGGTGGTCAGCCGATCTGTTGGCAAACGAGCCAACAACCTTTTGTCACCCACAGTACGGCTGAAGCTGAGTTGGTTAGCTACTGTGAAGGCCTGATCGCTGGCAAAGCAGCTGAAGCTCTGGTGATGGAGCTCACAGGTGTTACAGCTGTGATGAAGGTCATCTATGGTGACAACATTGCCGCGATTGGACTGGCCAATGGAACTACAGCTTCTTCATGGCGAACAAGACACTTGCGCATCAGAGCAAGCCTTTTGAAACAAGCCCTGGATGAAACTGATGCAGCTGGAGGCCAATGGAAGCTGATCCATGTGCGTGGCCTTGACTTAGTTGCTGATGGTTTTACAAAGCCTCTTTTTGGAGCTGCCTTTCAACGTTTTGTGGAAAACCTGGGCATGAATGCGCCGTTTTTGAGGCCCGAAGACCCTGAAATACGTGCTGCTCAAGTGCGAAGCCATGGCAGCAGAGAGCGTGTTCATGCTGGTGCAGCTTCTGCGATGAGTTTTTTGGTGGGGCAGACTCTTTTGTCCGAAGCCGAAGCTTTGGAAATCAAGGGAGAACAAGATGAAGCGGGTCCACTTTGGATTGCTGCGGTGGTTTTGATGATCCTTGGGGCAATCTACGCTGGCAAGCTGGCAGTTCAAGCTGGTCAATGCTGCATGCGCCGATTGCAGGTGTGGTCGTCTTCGCCAACGATGCCTTCTGGTGAGATGCAAGCTTCATCAACAAGCTCCGCTACCAAAGATGATGGTGAAAATGATGTTGAAAAGAGATCAAGTTTGAGGCGACGCTTGAATGCTTCGAGCGGATCTGGCCCTGTGCAGGCCTTTGGCAGTTCTGGCCCTGTGCAGGCCCTTGGCAGTTACGGCCCTGTGCAGGCCTCTGGAGCGTCTTCAAGCGGCGTTGGAAACTATGGCCCTGTGCAGGCCTCTGGTGCGTCTTCAAGCGGCACTGGAAATGTTGGCCCTGTGCAGGCCCCTGCGACGATGCCTTCAAGTGGAGCTGGCACTTTGAGCAGTTCTAGCCTTGTGCAGGCTCTCTCTACGGGATCTATGAGTTTTGGCCCTGTGCAGGCCACTGGTGCGTCTTCATGCAGCGCTGGAAGCGTAGGTCCTGTGCAGGCCTTTGGTGCTTCTTCGAATGCGGCTGCTGGCATATCTCCAAGCGCTGGATCTGGCCCTGAGCAGGCCTTTGCTGCTGCGGACCCTGGCCCTGAGCAGGCCTTTGCGGCTGATGTATCTGGCCTTGAGCAGGCCCTGCGCGCTGTGGCGGAGATTTCTTCTGCGGCTGCTGCTGATGGCGTCAGCGTTGAAAACGCGTTGCAGCGGCGAGCAGCTGAAGTGAGCGAGGCACTTTTGGGTGGTGAAAGGTCTGAAATGACTTTACATAACCCATGGAATCTTTTTCAACATGAACATAGAGGCAAAGGATGGTCGCCTGCACAGATGTCAAAGATGTACAAAAAATGGCGAAACCATCATAAGGATAAAATGCCTTGAGCCTACCAATTTTAGGTTCCTACCTTTTTAGGTCTTTTTGTCCAATTCAATTCAATTGGCTGGGTGCCAAAATTCATTTTCTTCTCCCATGCGAATCGTGTAAACACGATTGGGGGAGTCTGTCATGTCAGGTGCGAAGGATGACACGCACAAATCACAGCAGAAGTGTACCTGTTTACCGCAGGCATTTTGGATTTGGAAAACAAAGGCGCGGGAGTTGTCAAGATAGTAATTCTCTACCCTGAAAAGTTCGGCAATTTTTTGGGGGATCCTTCCACTGACAGTCCCAGCGAGGTGATGTTGGCTAAGTCGTCACCATTCTTGCTGAAAAATCACCGTTGTCCCAACATACCCTCCAGCAAATTAACAGTTCGACCCTTTCAGATAGGGGTTGGAAGATTAGTTTCCACTCAAAAATTGTGATTTTCAGGGTCTATGTTAATTTACCAGAGGGTAATCCCAATATACACCTCAAAGTAATCCCACTTTTTTCACCACTGGGTCCACTGGTAACCCCAGAACCGTCAGAACCGACCCGGTCCCCGGATGTCCCCGGTCTCCTGATCAATGAACTGAAGGTTCGACACGCGTCCATCCTGGCGACGGGCCGATCTGTGCAATGGGTAAAGAGAAGAAATCACCTGCGACGGGCCAATGGGTAAATCCCCATTGGTTCATAGTGTTCAATAGTGGTTAATAGTGTTCAATAGTGGTTAATATGTGATTAATAGTGGTTAATATGTGATTAATAGTGGTTAATATGTGGTTAATAGTGGTTAATAGTGATTAATAGTGGTTAATAGTGATTAATAGTGTTCAATAGTTGTTAATAGTGATTAATGG